TTCAAGAAGCTGCGGACGAAGGAGGTGCCACTTGTGAAGGTCTTGTGGCGAAGCCAAGGGGTCTCTAACATGACTTGAAAACCCGAGGTAGAGATGCGTAGTAGTTATCCGCATCTGTTTACTTGAACGTTGTACGAACACTTATGTATGACGTTCGATTTGTATCAGGCGTATGTATCAGATGACGTGACGATATGGATTGTGTTTTGGAGATGATATCGAATACGAGGAAGTCTTGATGATATCACGCGATTCTGAATTCGAGGACGAATTCTTTTTAAGGAGGGGATTTGTAATACCCCAAAACCCGGTTTGAATATTAATGATTAAGAAATAAATAATTAAATAGAGATATCACGAAATCACCCAAAACGAATAGTACAATGCCGGGAAGAGGCACGAGGATCGTCACGCGCGGAAAGGATCGGGAAGGAATGAAGAAAAAAAAAGAGAAAAGAAAAAAAAACAGGGTTGGTCCGCCGGACCAGGACTTGGTCCGGGGCAGACCAACCTACTCAGTCGGAGCAAACCGAGCTGAGCAGACTGGGGAAAAATCGCAAAAAAAAAATAAAAGTGTCCCCGGTCCGGCGGACCGGGAAGAGACAGAATGCAACTTGCTCTGTTGCAGTCTTGGGACGCGGATTTCGCTAGAGTTTGGGACCCACTTGCCGTCCAGCCGCCTCCCATGCCTCGGGGACTTGCAGGCTCGCCTATGGGCTTTCAATGAGGATTTAGAAACAAACGGCACTCAATTTGGTTGAGAAACGAAGGAGATATGAGTTTATGAAAACTGAGAAAAAACACAAATTGTAGAATCGCGAAATTTATGTGATAAAGGGGTTACGAATCAATTTTCATCCTGTAGACGTGAGATTTCAATTATCTACTGCTTGGATATGAAAAAGGACATCCCAATTGAACATTTAGAAACAAAGGTGCGCGATTGGTTAAGAAACGAGTGAGTTATGAGCAATCGAAGTCGGACCAAAAATCTGAAAACGCGAACGGATGAACTGCCCAGTTCCGGTCCGCCGGACCAGGAACTGGTCAGCCACTACAAGAAAATCTTTGTATAGCTACAGAATTTACGACGGAAATAAATTACGACAAAATTCGACGGTTTTGCGACGGAACGCGAAAATTTTTATTCCGTCGCAAACAATCGCAAAATCTGTCACAAATATACGACGGAAACGTTATCGTCGCAACAATAAACATTATTTGCAACAGATTTCGACAGAAATTTCCGTCGTAGACATTAATTTTATTTATTTTTAAATTTATGTTATTTATTTTTGGATTTTGCGACAGATTTGCGACAGAAGTTTCTGTCGCAACTTCTGATTTCATTTTTTTTTCATTATTTTCGGTGAAAATTTTCAAATTTTCGTGGTTTATTTTTTGTTTTGCGACAGATTGCGACAGAAATTTCTGTCGCAAATCCTAATTTTATTTATTTTTATTTTTTTTAAATTTATGTTATTTATTTTTGGATTTTGCGACAGATTTGCGACAGAAATTTCTATCGCAACTCCTGATTTCATTTTTTCATTATTTTCGGTGAAAATTTTCAAATTTTCGTGGTTTATTTTTTCGTTTTACGACGGATTGCGACGGAAATTTCCGTCGCAACACTTAATAAAAGCCACGGCTTCGTCTTTCTCTTCCAAACTTCGAGATTTCAAGAAAAAAAACTCAATCTTCTCCAATATTCTTCAACAAATTATTTTTCTTCAAAATTCGTCAAGGTACGTGTGACACCCGAAACCCGTATCCCGCAATACAAGTTGCGCCACATGGACAAGTAAAATAAAAATCGCATTTCCAAAAAATCCGCGGGAATTTAAACTTTTATTTTTAGAGTTCAGCGGAAGAAACTTTCTTACATACATATACGGTACATTATTCCAGTTATAATTATACATACACAGTGGTAGTATCACATTATTACAAACCATAAAAGTCTACCACCGATATAACACAAACCGTTCCCCGAAAACGTAATTGTACCGTAGAGAATAATTATACATGATCACACGGCAGGTCACACCAGTCTTCGATGTCCGCTCCTCGGCTACTGTTGCTCACGACCTGAAACGTTGCGTAACAACGTCCTAAGCTAATTGCTTAGAGAGTGAACTCGGGCGTAACCCGGAGTTCCATTCTCATGGTGCCAGGGAAAGCACAAACATATAGATATATGTGTGTATGTACTAATATTCTAATAAACAGGAATTGAATACATAAATCACTGTAAGCACGCAGCAATCACCATCAAGTCCGTACGACAAGTCGGCCGTACGACATGTCGCAGGACAGAGTCCGTCAAATCGTCTCTACGCGCACCATGCGTAGGTAGGTATTCCCCATGTGCGTAGCACAACCACCTATCTCCTCGGATTCCATCTACTCCGCACACACTCGGAATCCGGCATAAGTATCTTTTTATTTTTCTCCGCCCGAACACATCACCCCACCCTAGCATCGATGGCACCTCTCGATGCTAGGCGTGTCCCCACTCCGGCATTGATGTCACCTCTCAATACCGGAGCTCACCTGACGTCGGCTACAACCGACGCCGTCGACTATAACGAGAGAGCCAATCGCTGCAACTCTCCCTTGCCGACCATCCGCCGCGGAAATACCTGTCAGGTTCGGGCCCGAACCTGGCAGAGTAAGTCCGTACCACCTCCTCGGGGGACCACAATCCACCCGAATCTCAGGTATATGTATTGCCTCATCCTCGGGAGACTCATCTCCCGGAATCCGCTCCGTCGCTAGCGAATACGTTGGCGCGGTTCTAAAAACCGTGTGTTCCTCGTCACGCAATAGTACCGACCCCAATCGGCTATCCACGCAAGTCATCGGGGTGGCCATAACCGTTCTGTCATTCGGACGTTGGCGCGATTATATCATCGCCACATTCACAATCATATCCCATACGGGTGGCATCCGACCTGGATCGGATGGCCCGTAGATGGGACGCAAACTCGCAACCATCGTATAATCATTCACAAGCGTCCGTTTCTACAATCACGCGCTAAACGTTAATCCGAACCCTTCCGAATTAACGCTAGTGCCATGCCATCTACCCCAGTCACATGCATTTATATAGTTTATTTACTATACATGCATTTCCGCTTGTGTAGTCTTTTATATTTCTTTATATATTTTCTTTCATTCTCTTCATCGAGTTTACCGAATTGTACCTCCGGTATGACTTAGCTGGTCCCGGTCCGCCCGGATAACCAGTTCGGTTCATTCCGTGGTTTCTAACCTTACCTGTTATTCATTTTGGGTCCAGACTACGTGGGGTCCGGTCTGGCCCGTAATTCCGGTATAATTTATATTTTTCACTTTTTCATAATTTTAACCAGGGTCATATTAGACCCGTCTTATCATATTTTTCAATTTTCCTCGTGGTGAAATTTTTCAGTTCCGTTAATTTTTCAGTTCCGTCCAGTCGGTTGGAACGGACGTTCTGTTTGGTTCTATTTTATCCAGAACGGACGTTCTGTTTTACCAGAACGGACGTTCTGTCGTCCAGAACGGACGGTCTGTGTTAGAACGGACGTTCTGGACTTCGTCTTCAACCTCTGGACTTCTGTATTTCTCCAACAGACCTAGAACGGACGGTCTGACCTCAGACCGGACGTTCTGGTCCTCGGATTTTCACCAAAATACATAAACATGCATGGTTCACTATGGGTATAACACTAAAACTCATAAAATTACATGCAGAACACGAATCAAGCATCAATTTCACACGAAATCACTCAAAACCCAAAACCCCATGTCTAACAGACTTCCGAATTAAACTCGAATTCACTCACCTTGGGTTAAGCCCGTGCTATGGGTGACGGATGGGAAGCTTGGTGATGCTCTCCTTGTTCTGTAGAGACCGGATCGAGAGTAAATCTTCAGATTTTTAGAGAGAATTTCTGGGTCGAAGTTGAAGAACAAGTGAGGGCAGAAGGGTTGATTTATGGTCGAGATTAGACGAGTTTTCAGCAGCAATCCGGACCCAGGAGGGACCTAATCACGCGTTAGGGTCAAAAAGTCGAGTTTTCTGGTCGGATTTGTGCGCGGGGGTCATTTTCAGGTCGGCC